TTTAGGTTGGTTCCATAGTTTTGCTATTGTAAATAGAGCTGCAATGAACATGGCATCCATGTTGCTGCAAATGGCAGAATTTCATCCATTTTTATGGATGATATTGTGTATATATACCATATTTGCCCTATCCAGTCATCCATCAATGGACATTTAGGTTGGTTCCATAGTTTTGCTATTGTAAATAGAGCTGCAATGAACATGGGAGTGCAGGTGTCCCTTCAACATGATGATTTCCATTCCTTTGGATATATACCCAGTAGCGGGATTGTTGGATTATTTGATAGTTCTATCTGTAGTTGTTTGAAAAATTTCCGTACTGTTTTCCATAATGGCTGCACTAATTTACAGTCCCAGCAACAGTGTAAGAGGGTTCCCCTTTCTCAACATCCTTGCCAGCATTTATTGTTCTTGGTCTTTTTAATAATGGCCAGTCTGACTGGGGTATGATGATATCTCAGTGTAGTTTTGATTTACATTTCTCTGATTAGTCATGTTGAGCATTTTTTCATGTGCCTATTGGCCATTTGTATGTCTTCCTTTGAAAAAATGTCTATTCATCTCCTTTGCCAATTTTTTAATTGAATTATTTGTTTTTCTATTGTGTAGTTTGAGTTCCTTATATATTCTGGATATTAATCCCTTGTCAGATGTATAGTTTGCAAATATTTTCTCCCATTCCATAGGCAATCAGGCAAGAGAAAGAAATAAAGGGTTCCAGATTGGAGATGATGAAGTCAAACTTTCCCTATTTGCAGATGACATGATACTATATAAAAAATACCCTAAAGATTCTATCAAAAAACTCCTAGAGCTGGTTAATAACTTCAGTAATGTTGCAGGATACAAAACAAATGCCCAGAAATCAGTAGCATTTATATACTAAAATAATGAATTAACAGAAGGAGAAATAAAGTAAGCCCATTTACAGTTGTCACCAAAAAAATACAATACCTAGGGATCGATTTAACCAAGGAGGTTAAAGACTTCTACAATGAGAATTACAAAACACTTCTGAAAGAAATTAAAGAAGACACAAAAAGATGGAAAGATATTCCATGCTCTTGGATTGGAAGAATTAATATTGTGAAAATGTCTATATTACCCAAAGCGATCTACAGATTCAATGCAATCCCCATCAAAATACCAATGACATTCTTCACAGAAATGGAAAAACCAACCTTACCTTTCATATGGAAGGACAAAAGACCCCGAATAGCCAAAGAAATCATGAGCAAAGAAAACAAAGCCGGAGGCATAACTCTGCCTGACTTCAAATTATACTACAAAGCTGTTGTAACCAAAACAGCATGGTACTGGTATAAAAATAGACATTCAGACCAGTGGAGTAGAATAGAGAACTCAGAAATCACTCCTCAGGCTTATAGCCATCTGATATTAGACAAAGGCAACAAAAATCTACATTGGGGAAAAGATTTCCTCTTCAAAAAGTGGTGGTGGGAAAACTGGATATTCATATGCAGAAGAATGAAACTAGATATGCATCTCTCACCATATACTAAAATCAACTCAAAATGAATTAAAGACCTAGGTATAAGACCTGAAACTGCAAAATTAGTAAGGGAAAATATAGGTGAAACACTTCAGCAGTTAGGTCAGGGCACAGGCTTTCTGAACATGAGCCCAAAAGCACAAGCAGCAAAAGAAAAAATAAACAAATGGGACTGTATCAAACTAAAAAGTTTCTGCACAGCAAAAGAAACAATCAAGAGAGTGAAAAGACAACCTACAGAGCGGGAGAAAATTTTTGCCAACTATTCATCTGACAAGGGACTAATATCCAGAATATACATAGAACTCAGCCAATTATACAGTAAAAAAAAATGACCCAATTAAAAAATGAGCAAAGGAGCTGAATAATAGACATTTTTCAAAGGAAGACATACAAATGGCCAACAGATACATGATAAATGCTCAACATCACTAGTCATCAGGGAAATGCAAATTAAAACGACATTGAGATATCACCTCACTCCAGTTACATTGGCTATGATCAAAAGACGATGAATAACAAATGCTGGCGAAGGTGTGGAGAGAAGGGAACACTACTGCACTGTTGGTGGGAATGTAAATTAGTGCAACCACTTTGGAAAACAATTTGGAGTTTTCTCAAACAACTACAGATAGATCGTCCATATGATCCAGCAATCCCTCCTCTGGGTATATATCCAGAGGAATGGAAATCATGATGTTGAAGAGATACCCGCACTCCCATATTTATTGCAGCTCTGTTTACAATAGCCAAGATATGAAGCCAACCTAAATGTCCATTAATAGATGATTGGATAATGAAACTGAGGTATATATACACTATGGAATACTACTGTGCCATAAAAAGAATGAAATACTCCCATTTGCAACAACATGGATGAACCTGGAGAAACTTAATGTTGAGTGAAACAAGCAAAGCACAGAAGAATAAATACCTCATGTGCTCACTCATATGTGGGAGCTAAGAGAGAGAGGAAGGCAGGAAAGAAAGACCACAGTAGTCCCATGATCCAACAGAGGGAGGGAACATTCCCAGTGGTACAAATTGAATTTGAGGGGAGTGGGGGAGGGGGAGGGAAGTTGGGGGATAATTAAAAGGGGACAAAGGGTACAAAAGCAATTTCTGATAATGGGTATGTCCGCAATATGAATCTGGGCCCCACATCATGGGCAAGAGGGGGACAATCAGCTTTGTATCTCATGAATATTCAAAATAAATGAAAATAAAATAAATGGAAGGTATTGTTTTTTTATTTTTCATTTAAAAAAATCACTTTACGGATATATCATTTGTGTACAATAAAATTTTACACAAGTTTTAAATGTGTAGTTCAATGAAAACATCAAGAAAATGAACATTTTCATAACCCCTTAAAATTTCTTTTCCCTTTTAGTCAGTCTTTCCCAAACCCTGCCCCAGGCAACCACTACTCTGATTTCTAGCATTATAGATTAATTGTCCTTCTCTAGAATTTTATATAAATGGAATAATTACGTATGGATTTAAAGTATGGATTTAAAGTATGTCTGCATAGTAAAGCTCAGCAAAACATTTTGCAAACGTTCTGTTATTGTGTGTACCCATAGTGAGTTCCTTTTTTATCGATGAGTAGTATTTAATTGTCTGAATGTACCAAAATTTATCATTTCTTCTTTTGATGGGCATTGGAATTATTTCTAGTTTTTGGCTACTATACATAGAGCTGCTTTAAACATTTTTTGGTGGGTCTTCTCTGTGGATATGTTTTCATTTCTCTTGGGTTAATACCTGGGAGTCTAATTTCTGAGTCATAAGGCAAGTGTATGTTTAACTTCATAAGAAACATACAAATTGTTTTCCAAATAGCTGTACCATTTTGCATCCTCACCAACAGTGTATGAGGACTCCAGCTGCTGCATATTCTCATAATCTCATTGTATTTCTAATCTTTTAAATTTTAGTATTTTAATGGGTGTGAAGTGCCAGCTTATTGTGATTTATATTTGAATGTTGCTGATGACTAATGATGTTAAGTGTCTTTGTGCTTATTGGCTGTCTGACTGTCTTTTTTTTGTCAAGTTTTTTATACAATTTCTTAATTTGGTTGTTTTGTTTTTGAGTTCTCTAGATGTTCTGCATACAAATTCTTTATCAGATATAAATATTACAGAAATGTCCTCCTAGATTGTACTTTGCCTTTTCATTTTTTAAATGATGCTTTTTGTTGAACAAATGTTTTTAATTTTGATGAAGTACAATTATTATTTTTTTTCTTTCATAGTTAGTCCTTTTTGTGCCTAAGAAATTTTTGCTTACTCGCTTGGTTGTGAAGATGATTTCCTGTTTTCTTCCAGGATCTTTATAGCTTTAACTTTATATTTAGATTGAAAGACTACACGTGTAAACTATTGCATTTTAAAAATCAATGTTTCTACCTATAAGAGCGTGATGGTTAAGTGTTTGCCACATGGTGCTTCAGAAAGTAAAGTACTTCAAATGACTGCCCAGGACATTTTAAAACCATAGTTAGAGTGGATTTTTACTTCAAGATGTTTGATTATTTGTTACAACTCATACTACAGATCATAATTATGTTTCAGTCTGTGTTTGTAATGGTGGAAAACTATACTCCATTAAAAAGCATAAATCATAAATAAATATCACTCCAGTATCCTCTTCCTCCTCCTCCTCTTTCTTCCTATCCTCTCCTTTTTTCCCCTTCCCTTCCTCCCTTCTTTCTCTTTCTCCTCTCTCCTCCGTTCTTTTTCCTTGCTTCCTTCCTTTAAAAAAATAAAAAATCTATTTACCTTTCTAACACTATGGTATTGTGTGGTTTAATAGCTGAGATATTTTAGATGATCAAATATTCCCTAAGTAGTAATCAGTTCTGGAGATTAGAAAATGGGATGCTCTTTTATAATAGCATGTTTGCATCACTGGTCTTGTGCACCCTAGTGATATTGTAATTGATGTTTGTTGCTTTATTATATCACGGGAAATTACTTGGGAGAGATATGGGACTACATGCAATGCCACAGAGAGCTATAACTCATGGCCTGTTTATATGTGGAAAAATTAGCTCTTAGTAATATGCTTTTGATAGAAAAATAATTCTCTAAGATCAAGTAAGAATAGGAAGTTTTGAATTGCAAAGTGAAACTCCCTCATGTACTTATGACAAAACTTTTTTTGAAATGACAAGTAATAGCATAGCTAAGCTTTATGGTAGGTGAAAAGTGCATGCTATGTTCTAGTTATAGGGATACCTTCATTCTGAATGCTGAGATTTTTGGTAGAAATTTGCTATAATGTAGATTTTAATATCCTGTTGTGTGGTGACATTTCTTAAATCTTCTTTACTGTGTCCTGAGGTTATAACTTCTTAGTGTGCTGTTGGTCTGAATGAAATATCCCTTTAAGTCTATTTCCCACTGCCTCAAATGTATCTTACAGGAAGTGTACTCTTGCTTGGACTAAACAACTGTTCTTTCTTATTTTTTTGCTGTAGGATAAGAAATGGATTCTCAGTCATGAAGATGTCACATTGGGAGAATTACTAGGCAAGGTATGTTAATCAACTGAGCAAAATAACCATAAGTCTTTATAGTGATTATGAATTCTGCAGATTTTTAAAATTTTCTTCAAAGTTTTCTTCTATTCCAGTATGCAGCAAGGCATATTGCAGATTAACCTAGAACACAATACCACATCTGTTATAAATACTGTAATGTCAACTGAAAAAGATATGTGAACATCTTTGAAAGTTTTAAGGATGATTGTTGACTTTTAAAAATAGTGTGTGTGTGTTTTCCCCTGAAAGGACTAAAACCCATAATAATTTTATTACAGTGTAGTGAAGCCAAAACTGGTGAGCTGAAATTTGGGGGAAAAAAACAAAACTATGAGGTAATAAAAATTTAAATAAACACCTAATAGTCCTGTTCCATTTGTTTCTGGTCGTATGTGACAATTTAGAAAAAGTGAAATACTGCTCCTTCGGATTTCAGGATTGTATATAGAATTACAGTATGTAACGTTAGACACGTGTTTCAATCTAAAAATGTAGACAAGACATATTTTTCAATATAAATATTCATTTTGTAACTAGCGCTGCTAGTAGTCAGAGGGGACCACTTTTCACATAATGAAAGTCTCTTCTTTCAATCTAGTTGGAAGTTTCTTCCAATTTATAGACCATTATTAAAGTATGTTGTGTCTAACAACAATGGCAGACATTTGATAATTAATCAAATGTACTATTTGAAAATGTACTAATTGTTTTATCTATAATTAAGCTCCAATGGGTAAATATTAACTTCTTTGTCAATGACTTAATTAGAGATGTTTTTGAATGAAAGTTTGAATTGATTTAGCTTCATGGTATGATGTGAAAAATAGTATAAAATCCAGGTATTTAGGGAAAGCTGTCCTACATATATTTATGAGTGATCAGTACTATACTAAATACTAAATCTCAGCATTTTAGATAAAGAAATAAATCATTATTCATTACTTTGATGCAAATATAAACTTGACAAGTTAACTATTTTTTCCCTATTTTTTTATGTTGAGAAAATGAATCCCTGTTGAAATAATCTACTTTTCAGGATTCTTATCACATATTTTTAAATATCTTTTCCAAATGGAAGCATCAAATTGCTATTGGAAAGCAGATTTTTATCAGCTGCTAATACTTATTTAGTAAATAAATTCTAAAGAACCTCGGCTGTAACCAATAGCTGATGTGTATAGTTACTCTGTGATGCTCTAGTCATTCTTAAGGAAATATTCCTCTGGGTCAGTAATGCAGTAGCAGTGATTGGGTCAAAAATTATTACAAAGAAATTAATTTCTATGAAAATGCAATTAAATGATAAGTTGTAAAACTCAACCACTTACTGAAATAGAGAAATAATATAGAGGGCGGATATTTCAGTACTGAGGAAAAAATGTTTTTAGTTAAAGAGAAATATTTCAACCATTTTTATATTTAGTTTACTCTCTAAAGTATGGTTTATCAGGAGACTGGTAAGGCTATTTCAAAGAATAATTATTTTCTCAATGACAAGGCAGTACCATTTAAATCTCAATAAATTTAATAATTTTTAATTAGACTGCAACTTTGAGACACTGCATAGCTTATTTTCATCTAATATTTTTGAGTACTAGAAAATGACTTGTAAATTTAATATTTTTTTATCACCTATTCTGAGTAAACATTTATAGTATACTGCTTAAGAGTGCATTAGTAATTAAAAGGGAATTATTTAGGGTTCCTATACTTAATGGACTTTGGAGTTTAGTAGTAATATAAGGTAACACAACAGTAGGAATTCTAACTTCAGCACTGTATTCTTAGTAGACTATATATGATATATAGTTGGTATTCAGTAAATATTTTATTCATTCTTCCAATATTTGTTAAATGCCTACTACATGCCAGGAACTCCTCTAGGCACTTGGGATACATCAGTGAACAGGCAGACAGAAATCCTTTGCCTTATGGAGCTTATATTCCATCTAGCAGGGAAAGACAGATAAACAATAAGCGTAATAAATACGTAAATCTGATAATGTTAGAAGGTGCTAAGTCTTGTGAAAAATAAAGAGGGTTTAGGAGTACTGTTACTCAAAGTTGCAATTTTTAGTAGGAGTTTGGGTACTCCTTATTAAAATGGTTACTTTTGAATAAAGACTTGAAGGAGGTGAGGGATTTAGCTATGTGGACATCTAAGGAAGAACGTTCTATGCAGAATTCTGAACAGCCAATTCAGATTTTGAATAGCCAATTCAAAATTTGTTCGAGGAGCAAGGGAGACAGTTTGGTTGTAACTGAGTAAGCAAGGGGAACTATGATAGGAGAGGAAGTCAGTGAAGTGTTGAGGCTATAGATGACATACCGCCTTGTGAGCCACTGTAGTGACTTTGGCTTTTGATTAGGAAAGAGATGGTGAGTTGCTAGACGATTTTGAGTGGAAGAGTGGCATGATCTTACTCTTTAAAATGGTCACTCTGGCTGTTATGCTGAAAATAGGCTGACGATTTGGAATGTTAGGAAGTAGTTGCATTTATCTGACTAAAAGATGAGGCTAGATCAGGATGGTGGCAGTGAAGGTGGTGAGAAATGGTGAGTTCTGGATATATTTTTGAAGTTGAATGAATTGAATATCGTGATGGACTCTGTGTGGAGCATGAGAGAAAGAGGGACATAAGCTATGAGTGCAACAGGTTTCAGGGAACAAGATTAGGTGTTCAGTTTTGGATTTGAGTCTGTTAGATTTCCAAGTGCAGATAATAGAAGACAGTTGGATGTCAAGTCTGGAGTTTAGAAGAGAGGTCTGAGTCAAAAGTACACATATGGTAGTTGTTGGTATATAGATGGTATTTAAAACCATAAGATTAGATGGGTTCAACAATGGAGTGAGTCTAGATAAAGAAGAGAAGGCGATCAAGGACTGAGCCCTGGTTACTCCAACGTTAAGGGGCTGGGGGAAGCAATCCTCTAAGGAGGTCGGGGAAGAGCAGTTAGGAAGGCACAAAAACAGGAGATATGATGCCTTGGAAGTCAAGAGGAGAAAGTATTCCAAGGAGGAGAGAGTCAGCAGTGGTGTCAAATACTTCTGAGTGGTCGAAGGAGATGATTACTGAGAACTAAGCAATGAGGAGGTCACTGGTAACATGGCTGAGCAGTTTCCATGGAATACTTTAGGTGAAAGCCAGATTGGAATGGATTTAAAAAAAAATGGAAGGAGAGGAATTAGATAGCAAGGATGTAACTCTTCGAAGTTTTGCTGCAAAAGGAAGCAGAGATATGAAGTGGTACTTTCAAGAGAACGATTTGTGTGTTGTTGTTGTTGTTGTGTAAATAGCAAACTGGTTTGTAGTTATATGATCTAGTGAAAAATTCATGATTGAGGAAAGATGAGAATTGCTAGAGTGACAATATCCTTGAGTAGGTAAGAGGAGATGAGATTTAGTTCACAATGGAGGATTAACTTTAATAGAAACACAACATTGCATTTTTATAACAGTAAGGAAGATTAGTAGGTGAGTAAATGGGCTGAGAGTCCAGAAGTTCTCTACAGATTGCTTCAATTTTTTCGATGAAGTGCGACTCAAAATTATCAGCTAAGAATGAGGATGAGAGATGTGAGAAGAGAGTAGATGAGGAAACCAGTCATCTAGAAGAAAGGGAGTGTGAATGGTCTAGAGAAATGTAATGTGATTATGGAGCAGCATTAAGGGCCCCTTAAAGGTTTGTGTCCATGAATTTAAAGTTAAATCAGTCAGCATAGGTTTTCTCCAGCCACATTTAGCTGCATAGTTGCAGAGTAGGCAGAGTTTTGGATTTAATCAGGGTTGTGGATTTGCCAAAAGAGTTCTACAGATTAAGAGAGGAGCAAGGACAACATGGTAAAGTATTTATAATTATTGACATGGAATTTAAGGTGAATATGGAAGGGAGGAGAGGACATTAAGGGAGTGATGTACATCAAAAGGGGTAACCTTGAGAATAACAGGTGTGAAACTCATTTTGTGTAATTTATGATGAATGTTTACTATGTTGAGAATTTAAAGTATGTTTACTTTTCATGATCAACCATTATTTTATAAATATCTAAGAGCTGAATATTAGATTTAATAGTAAAAAGTGAATGCAGGACTTCTGTCATTTAAAAAGGCATTTTAAAGTATTTTAACAATTCTAAATTATTTATTAATAACCAGTAATTCATATTGTATAAATTTTACAAGTTCAGAGTTACATTCATCTTAGAACTCTAAAAGTAAAACTCTAAAAGTAAAACTCTAAAACACAATAGCTAGCAGACTTCTTGCTCAACAACAGTAACATTGGAGTTTATTATGTTTGCATATTGTGATTATAGCTATATAAAAATTACATGTGTGTACGTAGAAAGACCTAAGTGATTATTCAAAAATAGCTGTTGTGCTAGTGTGTTAGCCTTATTGATCTTCTCTGTAATATTTTGTTTCACATTTGTAATAAAAGTAAAATTAATTGGCTTCAAAGTTCCTTCTCAAATACACTGTAAATATGGCATTGTCTATCAAAATGGGTTCTAGGTATAGGGTAAGGTGAAAAGTTCATACATTTGATAGAACTTAGTTCATCACAGGTGACATTGACATTTGGGTAAACACCTCCCCCTCCTTGGTACCTTTCAGAGACTGTCAATCTACAATAGCAGCTGTTGAGGGCCCCTCATCTGCCTTGTTTCTGTCACCTCTCCCCTATTCTGTCTCACTCCCACACTCTTTTCCAACTGACAAGTGGTCATGTGGGTTATTACCAGCAGTTACCCCTCAGAATCTTTGCTTCATCTCTAAACATTAGTGGATACTATTAAAATCTAATAAAATATAGAGCTTAGGGGATAAAGGGAAGTAGGTGAATGAAACTTATGTACTTTTCATTTTAATCTTATTCTCTTTTGCATCAATTTGGGTTTCTCCTTTTATCTACTCTCTTTCATTTTTTCCCCCATTTCTTTTCCTTTTCAATTCTCCTCTATCCTCAAACCTCCACATGGTTGGTTTGTTGGGTAGTATATTTAAGGTTGGAGGATTGATAACAGCAACATTAACAGTCTTTATTTCCACGCAAGATTATGAATAAAGCTAACAAAGTCCTTTGATTAACTCAAAATGCTTCATTACATGCTTTTCTTGTATTTGGCAGAGCTTTATGTATTGTCATACTTCACAAACAATGAATGTATTTGTATTTTCAGGGAAATTTTGGTGAAGTATATAAGGGCACATTAAAGGATAAAACTTCTGTTGCTGTTAAAACATGTAAAGAAGATCTTCCTCAGGAATTGAAAATAAAATTTTTACAAGAAGCCAAGTGAGTTCTCTAAAGTAATACAAAAATATATTTATAATATAAGTGATATTTTAAAACCTAAGTTTGAAGACATCTTAAATTGTGACTTGCTGAAGTAGAAGAAAGCACTTTCAGAACCCTCATAAGTAAGCACTTTTACAATGTGGAAACAAAAAGTTTCTGTTTTTGAGGTAGACTGTAGATCAGTTAGGCAATTGCAGTCAAAGAAGCAGCTGTTAAAAAGCGGTGAGTATTCTTCAAGTCTTTAAAAAATATTGTAATATTTTTGCTCTTATCACATATACAAATATATGCAATGTTGTGATTGTCTTCAAAATAAAAATATTACTGTGTTATATACATAAATATATAACTTATATGTATATTTAGACATATAATTATATCTAACCTTACCCTCTTTAGATATCATCACATGATTCTCTTCTCGTAGCTGTTAGCTTTCTTTTCTGAGAACCACAAATTACTTCTTCAGCTTAATGTCTGGCATTTGTTGCAAAATTTTCATATTGTTTCTTTTCTAATCTTCTAAGGTGATTGTCTTCTCTTTTCTCTATTATTAGCTAAAATTCAGTGTTCCACCTTGCTACTCCTGTATTTCAGATAAATTAGAATGATTCTGTTAGTGGTAAAATCTAGTATATATAACAAAACACAAAACAAACGGAAAGGTACTTTGGAAAGAATAAGCTGGATGGACCTATGAATGTGAGATGGATGGATGGATGGACGGATAGATGGGAAAGGAGGAGGATACATGTGTACATAGACTTCATGGTGTAAAGGGAAAGCGCCATGGGAGAACAGAAAAGATGGCAACAAGAGAACTAAGTCCCATGGCATGGTGCACTTTGTTGTACATTTCTCCATTCATTATCTAAAAATGAATATTGATCACAGTGAATTAAAGTAGTGGGATGCATTTATTAAATATTATCTATAGAATAAAGTTGTAGACTTTTTTCATGTGTTACTGGCAATTCAGGAAAAAATTCTGATGATACATTAAAAGGTATGCTATTAAAATAGCTTCATTACTTTAGTAGTTCATAGGTATTCTTAAGGTAAAAGGCTATGTCTACCATATTTTCAAAAATATTTAAATTTCTTATTTTTTAGCTGTTGATGGTTTTATTGCAAAGAGTTTAATTTCCTCTTTTAAAGTGAAATTATGAAGTTTTATGTTAAATTATATCTATGCGAACTTCTCAGTGTCCTTTAATACATTCTGGAGCTACATATTTAGATATTTAATATTATCTGAGTTCATACTTGCTGTTTTGTGCAATTTATTTATGAAGCAGTTTCCAACCTAAGAATTGACATTTTGGATTAAAATCAAACATTCTCAAAACTTCCTCTTTAATTTCTAGTAGAAGTTACAAGTTCAAAGTTATTGACAGAACATTTTCTCTATTCTTCCCAGTCTTATTTATTTATAAATCATTACATATTTTAAATCTAAATTTTTTTCTTTAGAAGTATCGCTGGTTTAGATGTACATGTACAAAGCATATATAAATTTTAGGTGGTTTCTCCAAAGTTACTTTTTAATTCTCTGAGGACAGAATGCTCGAATTTTCAAATATGAGTGTATTTACAACTATGTCAATAGAAAAATAAGGAATAAAGTTGTATTAAAAAAAAAATCATCAGGGCAGCTAGGCCTCTAAGAGAATCTAATCTATTTTAGCTCATGTTTGGAGTCCTGTGGGAATCTATTCTACTTTCGTGAACCTCTGATGAAAGTTTGCCTTTATCCAAGCTAAGCCTCCTCTGCTACAGCTTAAGTCTAGGTTGAAACTCTTTTACTGAATTATTTTTTAACTTTTTGCCAATTTTCTCAACTTCTGTGTTGTTACCATTTTGAAATTGATCATGATCATCAATAGAGTGTTTAAAACTATTATGAAATCTGGGCTGGCCCCGTGGCGCACTCGGGAGCGTGCAGCGCTGGGAGCGCAGCGGCGCTTTCCGCCACAGGTTCGGATCCTATATAGGACTGACCGGTGCACTCACCGGTCACAAAAAAGACAAACAAAACAAAACAAAAAAAAAACTATTATGAAATCTAATGAAGTGATTACCCTGTGGTATTTACCAGTATGAGATGACTTCTTATTTTTATGTGTTTTAAAATCAACTGTGTACTTTTAAAAAAAAAATGCTACCCTAGCAGCTTACAGTTTTTGGTCCAGTAATAATTTTCAGTCTAACTTTTGTGGTGGTGGTTAAAACCAGATACTTTGAATTCAGAGAGTTCTACATGTATGGACTAACTAGGTTATTCCTATTTAACCTAGTTGTTAGTCATTCAGAGTGGATAATAATTTTTAAATGAACATTTAATTGAATTAAGGAGAATTGACTCATTTGCACCTGTGTTATATTGCCAATATTCATCAATACTTGTTTGTATACATTTCATTTATCATAATTTAGGGTCATAGTGAAATTTTAAAAATTGAATTATGATTAAAGTTTATTCTACTTGTACACACTATGATCACAAATTAATGCTTTATTATTCAAGTGATAACTATACTTATGTTTTTCTCTCATCCAGAATTCTCAAGCAGTATGATCATCCCAATATTGTCAAACTTATAGGAGTTTGCACACAAAGACAGCCTGTCTACATCATTATGGAACTGGTTCCAGGTAATGTGATTTGAGAATTTTGCTTGATGACATTTTTATGTCATGTTTAATTACTTTTATATGTTTAGTCTTCTCTTTTATTTCTCCTTGTAAAGTTCCCAAGGATTTTATTTAACATTTTCTTGGTAACAAAGGGCTTGCACATGTACTCAGTATTTTTATAGGCTATAATACTTTGCTGTTTTCTGGAAAATGTCAGCCCACATTTTTTTAAGAGATGGATTTATCATTAGAGTGTAGTTACACATGGAATCCAGTTATATATAATGTTTATGTGCAAAAAGCTGTTCAGAAAAAGTCTACTTAGTTTGACTTTATAACAGTAAAAGTACTATCTTATATTTAGTTCATTATATGACTATGTCATTTTCCAAGTACATCTCCACACATCCTTTCTTTTGATAGTTATATATAACGATATATATGGTGCTTTGGGACACTTATCAGCTATGCACTTTCATATGTGGACAAACAAAAAGATGATCTGTCTAGGAATTTTTCCTGGTATTTCTTTCTGGTGACTTTCAGTGCCTCCGGGTCTTTTGGTTAACAACTTTTGACAACAAACAAGGACAACTTCTAACTAATATAGTATATTTTTAAGTTTTTTTCATTGTCCATCTTCCTGTTGTAGAAAATAAAATCAGAAGTAAAATTTGACCTTGCTAATGTTTACAAATACAATATTTAATAACTGAAAAGGATTTGCTTTACTTTTAACAATCATTTACTCATTTTAAAGAAGAAATTGAAAGGAATATGAAAACTTTGTCTAAAATTAATTAAAATACATAAGGAAACCTAGTATTGTAGATTGCCCATTAAATACTGTCTTTATAATTCTTCCACTATTTAGAATTGATCCTATTTTATCATACTACTCTGTTTGCTATTGGGGTATTTCTCAGTATTACCATGTAACTGTAGAATACCTAGATTATCCTCAAGATGTCATTTGTATGTGGGAGGGACATTGTATGTTTGAATGGTGTGCACTTGTGATCTGTATCTTAGAGCAGCTTTCAACATAGTTATGAAAAGATGAAACGGTACAGTCCCAAAATTTTAAAACAATTGAACAGCCCATAATTGTAATTAAAATAGGATGTGTAAATATTATAAATACATATACACATATACATAGGTGCATTTTTTATATTAGTTATAAAAACAATGCTTAATGAATATTTTTGGACTTATAAGAATCACTTGGAAGTATAACTGAAGGTTAAAAATTTAGCAGTAGGATTGTTGGGTCCAAGCTTATTTTGATTTATGGTAAATGTATTAGCTTTCTCTTGCTGCATAACAAATTATCACAACCTAGCAACGTAAAGCAACACCCATTTATTGCCTCATGGTTGTGAGGCAGGCTCGACGGGGTTCTCTGCTCAGGGTCTCACAAAGCCAAAACCAAGATGTTGGGCTGAGCTCTTATCTGGAGGCTCTGGGGAATAATCCACTACTAGTCTCACTCAGTTATTGGCAGAATCCCATCTGTAAAGCTAGGACTTACAGACCCCTTGAGTCTGTTGCACAGATTGGGTTACAAACCCTCCACATGCAGGTCTGTGAGCTAGGTTAAAAAAAAAAAAAAGTTCTGGGAGCCATAGGTATAGAAAAATAAATGGGTTTTATCCAGATCTAGGAGCAACTATGCCAGTGGCTTCTCTGAGAGTTCTGAGAAGCACTGCGGATCAAAGCTGTTAGTCTTTTATACTGAAGTCCACAACCCTGGACACCTGGGTGCCCATGCACAACTTATATTAAGTAGTAACAAGGAACACCTGAGGATATTTACAGCAAATGCTCGGCAAGATTCTGAACATCTGAGGGGCCCTGATATTTTCCTATTTTTCGCAACACCATCTCTTGCATCTGTAAGTCTGAGGTTCCCATTTCTTTTCCTGTTGGCAGGGGGCATCTCTTAGCTACTTAAGATTGCCTACATTCCTTTTCATGTGGTTTCTCCATCTTCAAAGCCAGCACTGGCATGTCAAATCCTTCAAGTGCTTTGAATTTCTCTGACTTCCTCTTCTATTACCAGCAGGACAATACTCTCTGCTTCTAAAAGGACTCGTAATTAGATCAGGCCCACCTGGATAATCTCCTTATTTTAAAGTCAGCTGTACCATATGACAGAACATAACTATGAGTGCTATCTAATCACATTCCCAGTTTCCGGGTGAGATATCTTTGGAAGGCCATCTTCAAATTCTGCCTACCACAATAGATTTTGCTAATTTTTTTTAAAAGGCTTCTTATAATATGGTATCTGAAACCATATCAGTGAACTTTTCATTCTCTGTTAAATTAAATCCACTAGTTGGTCTCGCAGTTCGAATGCATCTTTTACCCTTGCATGATTTTGTAGCATCATGCTTCAGTCATTTGGGAAATATCAGGTCACCAGTTTATGCAGATCTTCCAAATAGTGACACATTTCATTATACAATATCACAAGATCACATTTACTCATGTCACAACTAGTCTTATCAGAAAAGAAATGGGAAACTGTCGAGCTCATGGTGGTGAGTACATGTATTCTACAATTTTAATTTTTATTTGAAAGCTTGGATTTTATCATTGGCAACAAAAACTGGCAGTTTTTTTCCTTGATGAGTAAAGCTTACTTCATTCACTTTTGAGAAAATATCTGCTAAGTATCTAATTTTTAATAACCATAATTTGTTGTTCCTTCTTTTAAAAACAGCTTTATTGATATGTAATTGATAGACATAAACTGTAATGTGTATGCCTTATGCATATTGATATTTGTATACACTTGTGACACAATCACCACAATCAAGGTAATGAACACATCTATCACCCCAAAATTCTCATGCCTTTTTGTAATCCCTTCTTCTCCTTTCCACCCCATTTCAGTCAATTACTGATTTGCTTTCTGTCACAATATAAGTGCTGTGGTTTAATGTCCCCCCAAGCTCATGTTGGAGCTTAAGCCCCAATGTGGTGGTGGAAGGTAAGGCCTTTAAGAGATGATTGCATAGTGAGGACTGGCCCTCATGAATGGATTGATCCATTCAATGAAGTAATGGGTTGATGGTTTAATAGGTTGTCATGGCTGTAGTTCTGATGGATTTATAAGGAGAGCAAGTGAGGTTAGCTCTCTAGCTCTTGCCATTCTCTTGCCTTGTGATACCCTGTGTCACCAGGGGATCCTGTAGAGAGTTCCCGTCCAGGAGAAATTCCTTACCATATGAGCCCCCCTGCACCTTGGACTTACCAGCCTCGGAAACTTTAAAAAATTTTGCTTCTTTACAAATTACTCAGTTACAGGTATTCTGTTATAAGCAACAGAAACAGATTACTACAATTAGTTACCATTTCTTAGAACTTTATATAAATGAATTCATATAGTAAGTACTCTTTTTGTCTGAATTCTTTTACTCAGCATAATTGAGATTAATGCATGTTATAATATGTTATCAGTAATTTTCTTTTTATTGCTTAGTAGCATTCCATTTTATGAGTATACCACAGTTTATCCATTTACCTGTTGATAGACTTTTGGATTATTTCCATTTGGGGACTTTTACAAATGAATTTGCTGTGAACATCCAAATAAAAGTATTTGTAAGGATATGTGCTTTCATTTCTCTTGGGAAACTGTCTAGGAGTGGAACGAATGGATCATATGGTATTTGCATGTTTAAATTTCCAAGAAAAATTGGTTGTACTAGTTTACATTCCCATCAGCAGTCTGTGATTGTTCCAGTTCCTGTACATCCTCATCAACTACTGGTCTGGTCATTATATAGCCTTTCTAATATTTCTTTAGAGGTACCTTATTGTGGTTTTAATTTGCCTTTTCCACTGACTAATGATGTTGAACTCCTTTTCATGTGCATATTTGCCATTTATACATTATCATTGATCAAGCATCTGCTCAAATCTTTTGCCTATTTCTCAAATTGGGTTGTTTTTTAATAACCAGGACTTGGTTCCTTACATATTCTGGAAACAAGTCCTTTTTCTCTGTGTCTTGCCTTTTCATTCTTTTAACAGAATCTTTTAAAAAAATTTTAACACTTACTTATACATATTTGTGGGGTACATTTTGTTGTTTGAATACATGTGTATGCTGCATGATGATTCACTTAGGGTTGGTAGCATAGGTTTGTACCTTTTAGTCCAACACTTTTCCTCCCCTCCCCACCACCCTTCCTTCCTGGCCTCTGGCAGCAGTTATTCTACACTATACTTCTGTGAGAACCAGTTGTGGTTTTTTTTTTTGTTTTTTGGGTTTTTTTTAGATTCCACATATGACTGAGATCATGTGGTATTTGTCTTTCTGTGTCTGACTTACTTCACTTAACATGATAGTTTTCAGTTCAATCCATGTTGTTGTAAATGATAGGATATCAATTCTTTTTTACAGCTGAATAGTATTCCATTGTGTACATATACAGTGGGTTTTTTTTTATCCATTCATCCATTGATGGGCATTTAAGTTGATCCCATCTCTTGGCTATTGTGACTAGCATTGTGATGAACATGGGAGGGCAGGTGTGTCTTTTTGATATATTGATTTCACTTCCTTTGGGTGTATATCCAGTAGTGGGACAGCTGGATCGTAAGTTTGATCTGTTTTTAGTTCTCTGAGGAATCTCCATACTGTTTTCCACAATGGCTGTACCAATTTACATTCCTACCAACAATGTAGAAGAGTTCCTTTTTCTCTGCATCCTCACCAGTATTTACCATTTCCTGACTTATTGATAATAGCAATTCTAACTGGGGTAAGATGATATCTCACTGTGATTTTAATTTGAATTTCCTTGATGATTAGTGATTTTGAGCATTTTTCATATGCTTATTGGCCATTTGTATGTCTTCTTTTGAGAAATGTCTGTTCTTTGCCCATTTTTTAATTGGGTTATTTGGTTTTTTGCTGTTGAGTCATTTGAGTTCCTTGTATATTCTGGATATTAGCCCCTTGTCTGATGTCTATTTTGAAAACACTTTCTCCCATTCTG